AAAATCACACATTAATACATTTGTCTGTCATAATTCGTTAAGAAACATGCCACGCCATCATTATCCAACTACTTCCTGTGGTCTTCTTCGTGGTTTCCGTCAGTATTTCTACCCGACTATAATGTCAATGTCAATGTCAAATTTATTTATATAGCACTTTAAAACAGGTATAAAACTGCACCAAAGTGCTGCACAGGAACAACAGTAACACTAGTAGATAAAACAGAATATCAAAAAATTGCTTCAGTTAAAAGCCAACGAATAAAAACGAGTTTTATAAAATAGTGTACCACATCGATCAGTGGCAACGAGGCACGAGGTTGTAAATTGTAATCAGAAACAATCTCACTGACAAGCACCGCTAATGAGGAGATTGTTGTCACTAATGAGGCCATCAAGGTCTCATGAAACATTGGCCCGAGCCTCTATCCAGGGTTTATGAGGGCCACTGATGCTGATGATGGTAACAAACCCCCAACAACATGTGCATCTCAAGGTGTGAGTTCTTGTGAGGCTGCACTATAGAGGTTAGGTCGATACTTAAAGCCTATGTTTAGATGCAAGCTAAATAAAAAAAAAAATTAAAAAGTCTGATGTTGACTTTAGCACAGGAGGACATCTGGTGGCTCTGTGTCAAACTGATCTGACAGAGAGTGCACAAGTCAAGACGGTACCTCTGCCCTTTAAGAGATGGCCTTTTCAAAGAATATTCCTCTCTTGTTCAGTGATGTGAGCACACACAAAAACAGTCACTGCTGACATTTGCCTTGCCACCTGCCTGTGACACTTGCACACACAGAGCGAGAGGGCGGGATGAACCGGGATGCTGATGCTGCAGGTGGAATATTCCGTCCATTTCAAACCAACATCTCTGCCCCAGCAACAACGCCAAGATTTTACTGCAAGTATTTTAGAAAAATGGGATTACAGATTGTCTTACTGATAAGGAGCATTCGAATATAGCACCAATATTTGGTGGGATAACCGTGAGGTTTTCAATGGGGTTCAGTGCAGAGGGCTCTTATTTTTTCCCAGAGTTGCATGTATGGAAGGTAGGCTAACCCTAAGGTAGCCTAACCCAGAGGAAGGTTAACCCCGAGGTAGGCTAACCCTAAGGTAGGCTAACCTCGAGGAAGGCTAACCCCGATGTTACAATTTGATTAAATTGACCATCTTCATTCACCCTTTTGCTGGAAGTTGCTATAACTTGAATCAAGCCCCTTTTAACAACTGTGAAAAGACACAAAGATACAAAACTGAACAGAGTGGATGAAGAAGAAAGAAGCTAAACACACGTTTCTCAGTGTGTTCTAGTTTAATTGGATGAAATTTCCCCAAACGTCCTTCATTCCATATCATCATGTAGTTATTCCACATCTGCCAAAACAACCCACAAAGAAGCACTAAAATGATGTTAACCGCAAGCTGCTGAAGATCTAACTCACAATAAACATCCTGATGGGAATCTGTGATTTTAATGCATTTCATGTTTTTCCAGTAAATTTTATTACAGAGAAAAAGAAAAGAAGCAATTTGCTTCGGACTGCGATCCAGGGAGACTTATAATCACAATCCTGAATAAAGTTTTACTAATAAATTCACCAGAAATCACTCACTGGTTGGGTTTAGACAACAGCTTGCAAAAATCATGACAGTCTCTGTTGAAGTGCTGTAAAAAGATTCGGTGATGTGAGTGTAATAAATGGCTGTAAAACTTTATTGCTAATTTATATGGATAAGAGGCATCTGCTTTAAATTTGAGTGGCTCAGGACTATTTAAGGAAATCTTCTAACCGTATCCATTTCTTTTACATTTAACAGAACAGCATAAATAATCTGATCACCAGCTAAGCCAGGCTGCCATTTATTGTTTTTGGATATTTTGAAAAATATCCAGACTCCATATTTACCAAAACTTCACTGCAGATGTTACAAAATTGACAGTCTAATAAAAACATATGCAACAAACAAATTTATAATTATCTGAATGCCTTAATAATATAACAGTTATTTGAGCATAATATAGTTATTGTATTAAAGGCTCTTTTTTCCAAGATGTTTAGGTATAATTTGAGATTTTAGTGGGCTCCTTAGAATTTTTTACAACAAAAAAACTGAATAAAGCAGATGATGAAAACATTCTAACTTTGTATTCTGTTATTTATTGTAACCCATTCTGAGTTTCTTTAACTTTTACATTAATGTTATCAAGCAAAAAACTGTAATGTGCTCCTTAAGATAATCAAATCTAAATCTCCAAAGTGTGCTCTTTTATATGGAGATGACTTTTCTCATCATTATGTCAGCAAGATGCTGCTTTTAATTGCTTGAGTTTTAATCACTCCATTAAATATACAGAAATTAAACATGATTAATCAATATTTCACATCATTACAGCTGAATGTTTATAGAAAGCAATCTGACTTTATGGTACATTTACTCAGATCCTGCAATAAAATGTAAATGATTGCTTTAAAAGCTTTTCTATTTGTTTGTCACTTTCAGTTCTTCATCAATAAAATCCAGTTCAATTGCTTTCTGAAGTCATAATCGTGTACCATCCTTTGGGGAATTTTTGGCCTTTTATTTCTGATGTTAATGTGAAATTATGGAGATGATTATATCTCTGCATTATTCAATTTATAGGAATTTAGTCCATTTAGCTTAAGTTGCAGGAATAAAGATATTAAAATCAGCAGTATTGGTGAGATTTACAAGCAACAGCAATATGTTTCATCTTATTTATGAGCAGCTATAAATCACTAGGACCCGCTTCACTACACTGAGTTTTAATCCTGAGAAAAGGATGTAACTGGTGCATTATAATAGTATTTTACTTTACAACCATTAGAGAACAACAGCATCATAAAGACCAAGGAAAACAGCAGACAGGTGAATGAGAATCCTACACACCCGAGGATGTCTAGAACATTTTTAAAATAGCTGCTCTCCATCCAGTCTGACAGAGCTTGAGTGATTGTACGAAGATTAACAAACAGTTCAATCTCTCGATCGGCAAAACTATTTATCTAAATAGATTGTTCCTATATGTGGATGGATATCCGTCTATCTAAACAGATTCATAGATGCACAAGCATCGTTTTGAGAGAGAGCAGAAAAAAGTTTGGAAGTGAGCAGAGAGGAGAGGTAATCTGCACAGAGATGAGTTTTACACAAACCAAAATATGAGCATGAGCACAGAGATGTGAGAGAGAACTTTTGAAAGAGAGCAGAAGTTTTGAGTGCAAGTAGTTTTGGGTACAAAAATCCTGCTTTCAAACTGAAAATGTGCGCTCTTGACTCAAGGCCGTAAAATATCACCCACAGAAAACTGACAGACATTCACAAGAAGACTAACAGTTTTAGTTAAGAGAATCAGGGTTCAACAAAGAGTGCTTTAACTCAGATTTGTTGTTACTGCCTTCCACTCCACAATTATGCACTACTTTTTTATTCCATTACATAAAATTCCATTTAAATGTATTGAAGTTTGTGCTTATGTTTTGACAAAATATGAGAAAACCAATGGAGTAGCGATTACATTTGCAAATTGTCAGAATAAAGGCAAGAGTCATGGTCTGTACCTCAACATAAGATGCAGCATTCTGGATCACTGAAGGGTTTTTAAGGGAGTTATTAAACTAGACATTATTCTAAATATTAACTTTTTCTGTACTTCATCTGTTTAAGAAAGGATGGGCTTGATGTTGTCAGAGGAAAGAAAACAGATCTGAGTACGTTAAAAACAGCAACAGCAATATGTGGTTACTGTAGCTAACTGGCAATGAAGAATGTTTCAGCAGGAAATGTTAATTAGTGCAGCTGATTTCCATTCACTCTGACTGGACTTGTAGGATTTGTGGCAAAGATCTGAAGGTTACAACCACAACAGATCTCCACTGAGAATAATGAAACATCCATCCCTGCACTTTCTCTATCAGACAAAAGAACATCATCAATTAGTCATAGATGTGTGGCGACTCAAAGGAGGAGAGACTGAAGTTTACAAGTAGAGAGCAAAGTAACTAAATTGGAATTAACAATAGTAGAAACAACAGTTTTCTTATTATTATACAGGTTTCCCCATTGAATAGAATGCTATAGCTGTTGTGCAAAATATTGCGGTGAATGGAAGCAGCAGAAAGTCTCAGTTTCCTCAACAGTGACATAACTGTCCAAATGCTGCTTCAAAGATAGTCTGCAATAATCTTCTGTGCAGATTATTGCAAACTATCAGGTAAACATTCAATAAAAGACCAGAGCCATGGGAAGGTAAAACTGATCAAAAATAAATAAAAGACAAAAAAAAAACATTAAACTAAAACATAACTCTGTTCAGGATCAAAGTTGGTCCTGAAACTCCTAAAAGGTTGTTTTAGGAGTTTTTACCTTAAGTTCAATGCATGTTTCCACCTTTTGTGGCAATTGCTACAGCATAGTACTGGAGAAATGATTTGGCAGGGTACGTGAAGAAATGTGGGGGTTTTTTTTGTCTTCCCAAAACTCTGAGCTACAGAAAAACTTTAGAAGTTGGATGAATGATCATAGCAAGCGTTTGCTCTTGGACTGTCATCACTAACTTGCCCTACATTCATCAAATTAAACAGATGCTTCATATTTCTCACCATTTTGCTAGCTAAAAGGCTTGGAAACTAAAAGAAATCACCTGGTCGGAGGTGTTTGAAGAACATGCACTCTGTAGACACAAAGGAAAGAAAGACTGGCTCAGCCGGAAAGGAAGACGGATCAGTTTGTCATCAGAATAAAGCAGGTCTTACGTTAGCCGTTTTCAGTTTTTTATCTTGACAAACATGGACAGCAGAACCAAGACTATTTTCTTCGAAAGTGGAATATTAAATGGCTATGTTTCAACTGATGAGTCATTTCCTTCTTTCAGAAATTGTTTTTAGGAGTTGGTTCTACAAGTGAAAAGCAGATACTTTTTCAAAAAGCAGACACCTGACTGCGGCAGAAAAGAATCAAAAGGGAAGGAAGCAGACCTGGAGCTGTCAGGAGATCAGATGGAGGACGGACGAGGAGGATTCATCTTTTAACAGCAAATCCTCTGTAAAGGTGCTTGAAAAACATTTCAGGACATGCTCCAGCTGTTCTTCCTGCTGCAGTTCAATGTGCACATACCCATCCTGGAGGACAGTGCAGATAACAACGCATCGCAGCCATGGATTTCTGTGGTTTATAAAAGACAAGAAAAGTAAAACGTTAGAAAACTCAAAGCAGGATCACTAATGATTTGTGATTCTGCAGTTTCAGACTTTCCTCTACCCGGCTATTACTTCTATAGCAAGATTTTTTTAAAATCTATAGCCATGGACAGCTGTTTTTGTGACTCAGACAAATATCTCCCATAGAGGCATTTTTTCACCCTCTGTACCATTTACCAGATGTCTCTTTCAGTCTGATATCAAACAAACACAGACCTTATACTGCAAGACACTTCAGGAGGAGCAGTTGACAGTTTCAAAGGCTCCCTGCTGCAGTGGACAAGTAAATACCTGAGAGGTTAAAGCAGAGGAATCTAATTCTGTAAGAAAAACACCTTTTTCAGGGAGTGCTATCGAAACAGCCTGAGCTTTAAATACTTTCTAAGATGTGGCTCTCAAAGGAAAGTGATGTGCATGTGATTTGAGACTCAGATAAATCCCCTTGTTTCATCAGGAAAACACATTGAGGATCCCACATTTCAGCAAGCAGTCCCAAAATAACAAAATTAAGAGGTTCCCAATATGTTGATATGACTGACCAGAAAGCTCCAGTTATGCCTTTAAAGAAAAACAAAAACTAAAAAAAATCATTATTGTTATTTTACCGTCTGGTGTTGTGAAAACATTGCAATATTTGCTATTGTGTTATACTCAAATCAACACAAACTTAAAACACAGATCTGAACCTTTAAAACAAACCATATGAGCATACAATCACCAATTATGCTTTATTTGACCTAGAAATTATAGCGCACATATTTTACTCCTTAAACATGAGTTAGCATTGTGCTAATTAACTGCAAATGTAAAACACAACCCATGAAACTACTAGCATGTTTGTTAGCTTAAAGCTCATTTGCCAAAACACTTTTATATATAAAACATATTTCTCCAAAGTCAACATTACCGCGTTAGGTAATAATCAAACGAAGTAGTTTGAGGTCCATTTAGCTTTCGAGCTTCAGCTGGTGGCGACATCGAACTACTTCCGGTTCGTCGTCATATCGCTCCTGGTCCGCCATGTCACTTAAAACATTAGTTGTAGCGCCCCCTGGCGGAATGGGAGGAGTGAATCCAAAGTGCTTCCTAAATTCAAAAGATATTGTAGTGAAAATCCAGGGCTTGAGTGGCAGAACGTGATGGAACATGATCTGAGAGTTTTTCATAATGGAAGAGTAACAGCTGAATGTAGCAGATGAATGGACAGTATGACATTGTTCAGTGTGAAACAGCTTGAATACTGTTATGTTGAATAGTTTGGTTAATCTTAAGCGTCTTGATTTATCCACTAGATATTGAAAGCTCCCACTCAGGCAGAACTTTCACTATATAACAAATATTACATAGAATACAGCAATCCCTCTTTTCAGCTTTATGATGTAATGTAACATCGTCTATGATAACAAGTCATTTATTGAGACAGCTATGCAATTTCACAGCAGCTGCAGCTGGCAGGTGAGTTTGCTGTTATAAAACCTGAAGAGCCAGAACGAATCACCGGCCTTCAAATCTTCATCTAAAACTGGAAAAATGATATTTCTCAATGAACATGCATTATAAAAATGTATATATATGGTATATAAGTGCCTAGAGATTACTGAATGAGTCGAGAATAAAAATATATTTTTGTATTTGATCTGAAAACTTTGTGATATGGTTTTCAGTTTAGAATGATACTGTTTTCACCTTCTGTCAGACCTGTTTCTAGAGGAATATTTGCAAAGTGCAGGCCAGCAATGTGTTAATAATCCCTAAATAAGTTCAGCTACACAATAACTTTGTTTAATAATATATGTTAATCAACCGTTTCATCAGTAAACATGGTACTTAGATAGAATATGATTAAAAAATACTAAACTGATGTGAAACATCTTCTATTTTGATTAAACATGTGCCATTAAAGCCATTCACCAGGTTTGTTTAAAATGAGTTTGCAGGATGCAAGGTTTGGATCAGCGTCAGCAAAAACAGCTAATATAAGAAACAGCTCAATATTACAGAAGAGAGAACATCATCATCAAATAAACAGCGACTTTGGTAGGGATTAGTGAAATATTGATTATGTCTGCTCTTCTTTTGTTGCCTCAGGTCCAAATGATAAAATAACCAACAAAAGATTTAGAACAGCTATTAAAAATATTAGCTTGGATGAGTAAACCAAAACTAAAAAAAAAAATTATGAAACAGAACTGAACAAATATGAACCACATTCAACAACAGGATCTCATATTGTTGGAGAGATGTGGAGCTGAAACTCACTTGAAATGCTGCAGGACACTTTCATCATCCTAAGATAATAATTTCAGCTCTTATCATTGCCTGAAAGATGCTGTGCTGTGTACTGGGTAACCATCAGCCACATCTAAGAATAGATTTCATAGCAGCAAAGACGGTAGTGTGAAAAATGAGAAATGGTTTTCATTTATTTTCTCCATGGGTCTTTTGTTGCTCTGAGAAGAAAACAAACTGGCTTGGGTTGGATTGCAATCATAAATGTTCTACGTGAGAGCGTGGAGGCCATCTTTTTCCTGAGTGCGCTCTGTGAGGGAGCATACTAATTCCTCAGTGGGATCTCTGCTAGAGATGACACTCCTGTGCCTGTTTAATCCTGGAGAAGAAATAATTGTGTTCATGCATCCGGAACAAAATCAGTCTTTTCATACAAAAAAATTTGGACCTGTAAATGTGTGTGATTGTCAAAAAAAGTGACAATTTATGCTTTCTATGTTTTGTTAAAGAATACACAAGCAAAATCATTGACATATTTCAGTTTTGAACTCGTTCCAAATCCTTTTCTAAGAATGTGACACAGTGACAGCCATTATTTAGAAATAGAACAAAAATAGAACAGAAACAAAACAAAGTACCAAAAGAACATCTCAATAACAGCCAGAACCTTTGGGGGGAAATGTTTGAATTCATGAGACAAAAATGAAAACTAAAGGTATGGATCCCTTCAGTTTAGGTGTAAAATGAGCACAACATATGAGCAGCAGATCTTATTGTCTGTCAAAAATGATGGTAGTGTGATGGTATGGGGTTGCGTCGCTGCTTCGGACCAGGATGACCTGTTGCTGACGGTACCATGAGTTCAGCTCTACCTGTAGACTTAAACCTAATTGGAATGATGTGCTATGACCCTGAGCAGGAGGCAGGCTTAGAGATGGCCAAAGTTCATCCATAGTGATGTAAAAAAAAAAAAAAAAAACACACATTTTGCAAGTCATCACAAATGCTGAATGGTTGTTTGTGTATTTCCATAAAGTTTGTTCCTTTGTGTTTTGCTTCTGGTTTCTTGGGTTTGTTCCTCTCTGAATTTGGTTTCTTGTCTTTTGTCAGTGTTTGACTTTTCCCTTTTTATTTGTTGACCCCCTTCTCTATCTTTGTACTTCCCTCTGTCTCTCTGCTCTCATTCTGCCAAAGCGGTTCCACAAACTCTCTTTTTTTTTTTCTTTCTTTAACTCTTCTCTCGTTTCCATGTCTTGTCTTATGTAAAACCTTTAAGATCTTTTTGTTTCTTGCCATTAGGGATTCAGCTCATCTTCACCACTGTCAGATTTGTCCTTTGGGTCAGGTTAGACAACACGACTCTGTCCCAAAAGTATACAAAATCATTTTAACAACAAATAACTCAGAAGGCAAAAAAGAAATCCCAGAAAAGCTTATGGTCTTTCAACATTTGCAAAATATTGACAAAGTTTTGTGTACATTTGTAATGGAAACGCATCTATTAACTGTAGCAACTGAGATGTCTACTTCATTGAACTTATGTATGCATGAAAAATCTAATTTACACCACTAATGAAAGATATATATTTATATTTCTTAACAGCCTCGTCTACTATATGAGTTGTAATATGGATTTTATAACTAGAGTAGAGAGTATGCCTCTCTTTCGAGGTCACAGCACCATCTATTCATTTTCTACACTATTATTTTTTATGCTATATTATATTTGAGGGTTGAGATAAGAAAGGATTTGTAAATGTCTTTGAACCTTTTTTCCATTTTGTTAAAAACCCCAGAACAGAGCCATTTTACTGCTTTGCAGCAGGACAGGTTTAAATTTGCACAGCATGACAATGAATAATGTGAGCTAAGAAAATTAGCTTGGAGTATTCACAAATTCAAAAGTAGAAATTTTACAGACTGCAGTGAATTATTTTCACTCTCCGAAAAAAAGTGATTAAAAGTAGATGGTTGCGTATCGTTTGCCGGACTGGTGAAGCCGTCAGCAGGAATCTGCTCGGACCTCGGACCCGCTCCGCTGTCACTGTTCGTCTTTTCACATGGATTTTCTCCCTCTCTCCTCCCACATCCCATTTCTGTCCAGGTTTTTCCTCCTCTCACAACTCACCCCATCCTTCACCTCCGTTCTTATCATTTTCCTAATGCAAACCTCTTTATGCTCCCCTCCAGTTTTAACCTTCGCCTTCACTGCTGTGACTTCCAATCTCTTCTTTGCTTATTTCTCACTTCTTCAGTTCTATCAGGAAATCTCATCATTCATTGCTGCTTCATCATTTAACCTTCACTTCACGCTAGTTAAACCCCTTTTCCCAAATAATCTATTCCCACTTACTTTGCTTTTATCTGCCCCACTCCCCCTTTATTAATTTTTTTTCAATTTGTCCTGAGTTTATTATGTCCTTTGAAATTCCTTCAGTGTTTTATCATCTCCCCAGAGCTCTGGACTCGCTTAATGAAAACTACTCAACAGACCAGAGAGAGTGCATGAATAAAAACGCAGTCAAAGCAACACAGTTGCTGCAAGGACACTCAGAGAATCAGAGTTTTAAGGTTGACCTTAAGAGAAGCAAATGGTTGAGGAGAAAGATGACAATCAACCAGTGATGAGTCTAAAAATGGAGCTGCTTTTAGTGATAAAGGAGCTGATGTCCTAAAAACCAAAGATCATTTGTAATGCTAATCTATATCTAAATAATAGTCACTCCATTCATTCAGTATATGTTGATTTATACTATATATGTGATTAAAAACACTACCACACTCTGACTCACAAATCTTTTTGACACATCTGTCCTTGACATACAGAATATGAGATTCATGTTTACTGGTTCCTGTGTTGTGACCCACAATATGGCAGCAAGGATAAAAGGATATGAAATATAATCTTCACAGAAACCAGGAAGAAAGAGCCTTTAGGAAAACAAATGTTGTCACAAATAACCTTCTATGTTCTTCATAAATGAATTATGTTGATGTTAAATTAGGCTGGGGTTGAAGCACAAACACTGCTAAGTTAAAAAGAAAAATAGATCTGGAGAAATGACTGAAAAATAAATGGGAATCAATGAAAAGTGAAGATAAAACAACATACCTTGTGTGTGTGTGTGTGTGTGTGTGCGTGCGTGCGTGCGTGCGTGTGTGTGTGTTTATAAGAAAGAAATAATTTCTCCAGTCTCATCCTTTTTGCAACTTTGGAGTTGAAAGTGAATTTAAAATGAAGAGTCTTGACTTTGATCTGCGAATACACAATGACCATAATGGAGCAGATTAACATCATCTTCTGATATATTCATGCTGTGATTGTTTCTGGAAACTAAAATACTCTAAGTTTAAAACATTTGCTGAGGTTTAATAAAGGTACTTTGCTGGTTTCATTCTTGAGTTTGAGATTCTAACTTGAGTTTTCTGAATTCTATGTTCATCTAAAATCCTCAGAACAGATAAGAGAAAACTCTGTGACCGTATCAAGCATAAAACTGGCACACATCAGCATCCTCATTGAGTTCAGACAGAATGAGAGATTAGAGACGTTTCCTGTGGAGTGAAAATAACTTTGTTGTGGGGAGAAAAGAACGCCACGAACACACAAAGCTATCGCTGAGTATCCGGTGCTTACATGTCACAGATTTCACAGCCTGATGGCAGAGCGGTGATTACCAAGATTTGAGTGTTCGGTTGCCTTTAGGACCTCTGACATCTGCAGTAATAGCATATTGATGTAAGATTGAGGTAACCAAGGTAAGGGATCAAACCAGTTTGG